GAGTTTCAGGGACTAATAAGGGAGACAGAGTGCAGGGGTCAGCACGTGGGTGGGCTTTCCTTGAACGTCCATTCCCCCCACCAGACTGTGGCTGGAGGCTGCCCATCTGCTTGGGGTGGAGGGCAAGGTGCTCTGACTCACCTGGACATTTGGGACATTCCTTACACGGGGCGGGAACAGGTGTTTGGGTCACTGCAGAGAGAGCAGAATGGGCATTACTGGGTGTCTGGATGGGCACAGGTTCGGGTGGGTGTAGGTGGGGGTCAGGTCATGGGGACTCTCAGACCAGGGAATGGAGTGGGGAAAGCCACCTGTGCTCAGAGTGGACCAGGCAGCAATACCCAGAGGACCTCCTTCCAGAATTGGGAGACCTTCATGTGGGGGAGGCAGCGGTGCTTCCCCTGTGCCCTGGGGTCCAGGCGGCCAGCTGACCTGGCCTGTCTCCCAGTGGACACCTGGCTTGTCCACCTTGGTCTTACTGGCCGGGTGGGCCACGGTGCAGGTGAAGGTGTCACTGGGCCACCTGCTGGAGGGCACTGTCACCATGCTGCTGAGAGAGTAGAGCCCTGAGGACTGCAGGACGGACGGGAAGGTGTGCACACCACTGGTCAGGGAGCCGGAGTTCCAGGACATAGTCACAGGCTCGGGGAAGTAGCCGGACACCAGGCAGGCCAGGACCACTGTGGAGCAGGGTGTGGTCTCGCACCTGGGGGCCAGTGGGAACACCGATGGGGCCGTGGTGGAGGCTGCAAGAGAGGAGGCTGTGTGACCACCAGGCTCTCACCCCTGCCAGGGTCGGGGCAGGACAGCAGGTGCTCAGGCTGGGGTGCCCCTGAGCCCTGTGCCCATGTGCTTTCTGGACATGTGCAGACCAGCTGCCTGGCCTAGGTTCCTGCGGCCACAGGTGCTGGACTCATGAGCTTGGTCAGTGCTGGGTGACCACATGGGTCAGAGTCCCCTGGGACTCAGGTGTTGGGTCCCCGTTCAGGCTTCCTCTGGGTGTCCAGCCTGACCGAGCCCTCTGTCTGAGCCCTGACCTGTGGCCCCTGCTCCCAGCCGGCTGCTGCTAGCCCCCTGAGTCCACTGCCATGCTGTCCCGGCCTGGTTGTGCCTTGGACCAGCGGGAACGTCCACCCACTGCCCATGCCCCTCAGCCCAGAGCCCTCAACAAGGCCCGCCAATGGCCCTCCAGGCCTCACGTCTTCTGGGTCGATCTGCAGCCAAGCAGCCCCGGCCCCCGGCCCTGCCCCAGACGCACTGGACCCTCCTCAGGCCTTCCTGGCATGGCTTGCTGAGCTCATCAGGGCCCCTCTCGGCCAGTGCCCCTGGCCTGGCCACCCCTGCTCTGGGGCCTGTCCAGCTCCTTGCTTTCCCCAGAGGCCTCCTTCAGCCCACGTCTTTACTGAGCCTGAATGCCCCTCAGCATGGGGGGGACTTGCACTGCCCTGGCTGTCCTCCGTGCATGGTGCCAGCGGCGCAGGGCATCTCAGGCCCCCAGACCCAGCCAGGCCTATCCCCTCTGACCCTGGTCCCCTCTGCTAAGGCGGAGGGCCCTGTCTGGTGTCCCCTCCCACCCACACCCCAGGCTGGCAGCCCTGCCTCAAGCTCTGATCGGGCCCCTTGCTCTCTCCTCCACTGGGGCCACTACCCGTGCCTCCCCGCCTGGCTGAGACATGTCTACCTCTTCCGTTCCTCGGCCCCACGAGCCTCCAGAACAGGGCTCGTGCCCCTGGACCAAAGAACTTGGCCCCCCTCGGCCCCTCAAAGGTGACTATTGCTGACCCTTCTGCCCCAGAGACATTCCCACCCAGGCTCCAGTCTCCACCCTAACTTGTCCCCCCGGGCCAGCCCCTCACCCTGTCCCCCACGTGCAGGGACGCTCACCTGGGCCAGAGCCCTCAGTTGTATGTATAGGCTGCACCTGCTCAGCTCCCACCTAGTCCAGAGCTCCTGCTAGCTCAGTCCTGCCCTTCCTCCCAGGAGCTCCTGGGGAAGCCTCTGCCCCTCCTGGGTCCCAGGCCCCAGCTTACCTGAGAAGCTCTGCCTGCTCCCCTGAGCCCCGGGGCAGCCCCCTTCCCCTCCTGCTCTCCCACCTGCCCCTGCTCACCTACACAAGCTCTGTCAGCTCCCCTGAGCCCTGGAGCAGCCCCTCTCCCCTCCTGCTCTCCCAGCTGCCCCTGTTCACCTTCACAAGCTCTGTCTGCTCCCCTGAGCCCCTGGGGCAGCCCCCTACCCCCCACACCTCCCACTCTCACCTACATCTGCTCACCTGCACAAGCTCTGTCAGCTCCCCTGAGCCCCTGGGGCAGCCCCCTACCCCTCCTGCTCTCACCTGCCCCTGCTCACCTGCACAGGCTCTGCTGCTACCCTGAGGCCCTGGGGCAGCCCCTCTCCCCTCCTGCTCTCCCAACTGCCCCTGCTCACTTGCACAAGTCCTGCCTGCTCCCCTGAGCCCCTGGGGCAGCCCCTCGCCCCTCCTGCTCTCCCAACTGCCCCTGCTCACCTGCACAAGCTCTGCCTGCTCCCCTGAGCCCCTGGGGCAGCCCCTCGCCCCTCCTGCTCTCCCAACTGCCCCTGCTCACCTGCACAAGCTCTGTCAGCTCCCCTGAGCCCCTGGGGCAACCCCTCTCCCCTCCTGCTCTCCCAACTGCCCCTGCTCACCTGCACAAGCTCTGTCTGCTCCCCTGAGCCCCTGGGGCAGCCCCCTACCCCCCACCCCTCCTGCTCTCACCTACACCTGCTCACCTGCACAAGCTCTGTCAGCTTCCCTGAGCCCCTGGGGCAGCCCCCTACCCCTCCTGCTCTCACATGCCCCTGCTCACTTCACAGGCTCTGCCTGCTCCCCTGAGCCCCTGGGGAAGCCCCCTACTCCTCCTGGTCTCCCACCTGCCCCTGCTCACCTGCACAAGCTCTGTCTGCTCCCCTGAGCCCCTGGTGTAGCCCCCTACCCTTCCTGCTCTCCCAGTTCCCCTGCTCACCTGCATAAGCTCTGCCTGCTCCCCTGAGCCCCTGGGAGAGCCCCCTACTCCTCCTGCTCTCCCACCTGCTCCTGCTCACCTGCACAAGCTCTGTCCGCTCCCCTGAGCCCCTGGGGCAGCCCCCTATCCCTCCTGCACTCATACTTGACCCTGCTCCCCTGCACAAGCTGTCTGTTCCCCTGAATCCCTGGGGCAGCCCCCTTCCCCACCTGCTCTCCCACCTTCCCCTGCTCACCTGCACAAGCTCTGTCTGCTCCCCTGAGCCGCTGGGGCAGCCCCTGTCCCCTCCTGCTCTCCCACTTGCCCCTGCTCTCCTGAACAGGCTCTGCTTGCTCCCCTGAGCCGCTGGGGCAGGCCCCTACTCCTCCTGCTCTCACCTACCCCTGCTCACCTGCACAAGCTCTGTCCCGCTGGTGCAGCCCCCTTCCTCTCCTGCTCCCCCACATGCCCCTGCTCACCTGCACAAGCTCTGTCCCGCTGGTGCAGCCCCCTTCC